CATTTTCTTAGGCTTCCACGAGCATTTTACACAGCGGTGATTCAAAATGGCGGGCAAGAAGGTCTGTGATGGTAGTATCGAGGAAAAACAGTTGATTTTGAGAAGAAAATAAGCTTTTTCACACTGGAAAAGCGTTAATTACCGCGTGACCGATTTACCTTGACTTACGGGAACCAGTTTTTTGGAGGAATGGATCATTATTACTTCGTGAAATTTGGCAAATACACAAACAGCATGTTAATGAACAGATCTGTGTTTGACTAAAGGTTAGAATTGCCGTACAGCTGAGTTATTGATGTCAAAATATGGGTCAAATTACAAAATAGCAAATTGTGCCCTAGAGGCCGGATTAATTGGAGCTGTGTCGTGGTCAAACAGAGAATTATTCTATCTTACGTCCTTATTTGTGTTACATTTCTTTTTTAACAATAACTCTAAGGATTCTTCTGAAATTTTGATTTTTCTCTTTCCCTGCCACCCTAGGGGGTAATTAAATTAACACCTTTTGGGTGACATAACATAGTTTATTTTGATATATTCTAGTTCCTCAAGAACTGAGGAATACCGTCAATATAGTGACATATAGATATTATCCATACAACAACCACTAAAAATGATGCAAAAATGTGCAAAATTTGCCTGTGCAGATACCTTAAGAGTTTATTACATTTCGGACAAAATGTTATTACATTTAGGAATTTATTACATTTAGGGTCGTTAATTACATTTAGGCCTTCTACAGCGGGTTACCCCACCTATCATGTAAACGTGATCAAATTAAAATGAGAGATTATGTGGACAGGCTGGTTACCCATCAAAGCGGGTTACCTCACCTACCTGGGGTCCCCACCTCCATGCTGAAACAAGCCCTTAGACTTCTCGCTTTTTGTTCTTAATATTTTAGTTGATTAGATCTCTTTTCTAGAGATTCAACGTTGACAAGCAACAGGATCTTCGTCCACGGTTTTTGCAGTAAATTTCTGAAAATGAAGATGAAAAATTGTGAATGTCAATGTTCACAGTGCATAAGGAAGTGTACCGAAGCTTATTAAATTTCTTCTCCAAAAATGCGGCGCTTATTTGAGGGCGGCGCTTATTTGAGCAATTACTGTTATTTGCAACTTAAGAGTTTATTACATTTAGGACCTTATTACATTTAGGGTCGTTTATTACATTTATGCCTTCTGCATTCACGCATTCAGCGAACTTCCTTCCACATGGTTGTGTATAAAGATCAAAGCATGGATTACATTGCAAATTAAATGAATAAACATTAACGCACGTAAATTTTAATCACGTAAATGAAATAGAGGCAAGATAAAAATTGCTGAGCTCAAACGAGAAGTTGAGCCAGGTTCAACTTTTACGCTGTCGAGTGACCTTTCATGCATTGCGTCTATTTTATTTCCGATCGTAAATTTTACGCACTTACGCACGTAAAAATAACGCGACACTGGAAATCAACCCTTACGCTGGAGCGTGGTCTAGTCGTACAAACGTGAACCTCAAACTGCAAACCTGATGGCAAGGCCCTGATCACGTGACTTCTTGACCTTTGCGGTTTGCGGGAAATGCAGTATGAAAGGGCAATACCACGCATGCTCAGGCCAGGGCTCCTAATCTCCAAAATAGCTTATCGTTAGTAAGAATTAGAATTTACAGGTGGTATTCACCAACACAATCCCCCGTTTTTTCTTTCTCTTCTACAAAATAATAAATAACAATTATTCACCGAAGTGGAGGTGGCTTGTGATGAAAGTTACCGAGGCCGCGATGCGGCGAGCTAAATACCACCACTAGCCACCGACACTGAAGTGAATGATTGTTTTAGTATTTACTAAAACAGTGAGATAATTGAGCACAAAAAATGATGATTTTTAATTCATTTACTGTTGCCAACGATGACAAAATTGGCGCTCGATGACCGAACGGCCGCGGTCGTCGCTTTATCTTACCGACAAATGAAACTTTTGAAGGCGTTTGTTTAGCTCTTGCGGGGAAGTTTCTTCAAAAGGAGTTGTGAATTGGTTTTTGTATTTAAAATCATTCTGTAAAAAAGATTATTAAATTTAGTTTTAAGCTTATTTATGAACAAGTCAACTAAATAAAGTAACGCAAGACTTAAGATTAATTTGCATTTGTAAACAAAAAACTTTTTCACCGGTTTTTATCTATAAATTCAAGTAAAAAAGACAAAGCTTTACCTGTTAAAAGTTTTAAACCGAACTTCGTCACCTTCTTCATGTATTTCGGGAACAGCTTGCTTCGATTAGTTGTGGAATTACGGCAGCAAACCGGGAAGGCATTTTGTTCGCAACTTACTCGAGTTTGGCGTCGCTCGCTCGGAGGAACTGGAGTTGAATCATTGAATAGTGCGGGATATTCACTGAGTAGAAGTAGCCAATCAGAGCTCGCGAAAAACGCTATCCACTGTTTTAGTTTATACTTAATAACAATTTTCACCGAAGTGGAGGTGGCTAAAATATCCACCACTAGCCACTGACACTAATAATAATAATAATAATAATAATAATAATGGAAACTTTATTTGTGTTTTTGAATGTACAATTGTAAATCTTGCTACGTATAGGCAATTTACAAATGCTGCTTGAGATTGGATTATTAAAAAGAAAAAAAAAACAAAAACAAACAAAAAAAAAACAAAAAACAACAAAACAAAAACAAAAACAAAACGAAAGCCAAAAAAAAATCAAAATTGCATTAAGTCTGGGCTATCCCAGTTCCTATTTCTACAACAAAAGATGTAATATGTTGCTCTAATGTCTGTATTCATCATTTTCTTGATTATATGACGTTGCTGCTTTTTGTCAATGCCAATGCCATTTATCATGCCTAATAATAACAATAATAATAATAATAATAATAATAATAATAATAATAATAAGGATGGTGGCAAGTAGGGAGGTTGTGCTTTGAAGTAGCTCCATAATTCTATTTCATAGCCTTGTCCAAACGGAAGCAAGCCAAGCTCGAAGCGTCTAGGTATATTCTTAAGTATTTCTGAGTACTTTGTATTAATCTAACAAGGAGACGACTGAGGGCGGATTTATACTATTAAAAGTTGAAAGTGAAGTACGCTAAACCGATACAAATAGTGGCAAGGAAAGTTATTCCGTATCAGATGGGAAGATGAGAGCCTAAGCATAACCAGTTGCTTTGCATGGTTAAAAAGTTGGGCTACATGCTCTACAAATACCATCGCGGGCATGTATGAATTGTATGAGCGGTTGTTACCTACGAAGCTCTACACAAAGGAGAAGACACAAACCTCCACCGACTGCGAAGTCCCATACAGGTTATGTGGGAAGGTAGCTGAAAGCGTTGCACAAGTATTGGCTGGATCTTCCTCCCTGGCACAAACCAAGTACCTATACAGGCATAATACAGCTTTGAAGATTCTGTTTTTTGAGCTCCTGCGAGAGCATAGGTTAATAGAAGAGGTTCCACCATGGTACTCACCGGTGATGCCAAAACCAGCCTACCAGAACACCACGAGTGAGGCGTTTTGGGATATTCCCATCTATGCAGAGCACAACGAAGTTAGAGCAAATCGGATCGACGCGCGACTTGTCAGCCACGAGAGGAAAGAAGTCTGCACAATTGAAGTGAGCTGCCCATGGATTGAGAGTAGAGCTAAGAAAGATGAGGAAAAGACACTCAAGTATGGACCCATGATGTGGGAGCTGAAGCAGTGATACAATGGTTACAGGGTTGAACAGTACAACGTAATAATTGACGTACTGGGTGGTTACTCTAAACACCTCTAGAAGAAGTCGGTGAGGAAGCTACTTGGAGCGAGAGCACGGAGCGTACTTGAGCGGATGCAGAAGTCGGTCATCTCAAACACCGTAAACATTGCCAGAAAATTTAAGATAAATACTTAGTTAGGGCGCTAAGGACTCCAGTTTTTAGGTTTTTGTTTTTTCTCTAGAAATCTGGAAACACAAGCTTGCTGATGTTTTTACTTAGATTTTTCAGAGCATTAAAGTTTGATATTATTCTAAATAAGCTTTTAGTAGAGATAATCACATTATGATGGCCTCGGTTAGGTATATAAGAGATAATGAGAGTGTAAAAACTGAATAATTTTCTAAATAGGCCTCTATGAGAGATAATCATATCATCATGTCTTAGCGTAGGTTTTACAGAGTATCAGAATTTAATAATATTCTAAATTGGCTTTTTAAGTAGAGAGATTCATATCATTATGTATATTACGATCGTATTAGGTTTCGTACCGACCTTTTTTTACTTCTAGGTATAGCTTCTCAAGTGGTGTAGGTTACGCTATGCGCTCTATACTACTCATAATGTGGACAGTATTCCAAAGTTTTATACTGTGATATAATAATAATAATATTTTCTTTACAGAGTACTATTGGGAAATCGAGCCGACGCCAAATGTTGTAGAGCAGGCTGCCTGCTATTCAAAAGTTGATCCTTGCCCACCGGCTCTTAAAGATTGCTCTGATGAATTCGTTTGTTCTTTGTCAACCAACAAATGCTGCTGCCCGTCGTCTGTGTCGACCGCCCCGCCGACTCCTAAGCCAAGTTTGTATTATGTTCGCCAATAGACCTTTTTACCGATACGGCTGCCATATTGAATTTATTAGGTTTAAGGGGTATTATGGGATGCCCAGGGGGCACTCGCTCAGTATTCACGCGCGCTTTTCGGGCTAAAAGAGAACTTCACTGTATATATTTATTTCAGGAAAAAGGCGGTCATTATTAAATACAAACACAGCACAACGATCTTTTTTTTCCCATTACAATCTTTTTTTAGGAAAACTTAAAGAAAAATTGGCCCGAAAAGTGCGCGTAAGTACTGAGTGAGTATACCGGATTGTGCTCATGCCCCCTGGGCATCCCATAATACTCCTTAAATCTAATTAATTCAATATGGCCGCCGCATCGGTAAAAGGTCTATACCTTTAATATATAGATTTAGCCAGGGCTAAAAGCGAAGCACTTGTCAATATACTTATAGTTTACTCAAACAAAAAATAAAATAAAGGCAACAACAAAGGTCTAATTTAGCAAAAAAGACAACTTTGTACTTGCAGCGCACTATTTTTGTACATTTTTTTTACCATTGTTTTGCACTACTATAGGGCGAAACTTCCTAGTTTATACACGTTTTATTGAGGAAACGTCATATGTATTCCTGTTCATTTTTTTTTCACTGGCACTCATTTTCACCTTGGAGGCGGCTAGCATTTGTCATTTTCTCAGCACCTCTATAAAATTTTCCTGTTTTCCTTCCAACGAAATTCGTCACCTTTGTATTTTATCTTTCACTTTAGCTCTTTCTTCTGTTACCCACCTCAGTGTACACATTAGGATTTAGTCCAAAAAAAAAAAAAAGACATACTTCGATTTGCTGTCGTTTTTTCTCTCGAAAAGTCTGGGTGGCCATGCGATTTACCGCCAAAAACGCGCGGGTGCTAGAAATGCGAATTTCTTGCCGGCTCTCATGAAGAGGTGGACGTACGTGTTTGTGATTTTGACAGAACAAATTTTTTTACCCATGGGGCTCCGCTCGATAGTTTCCTCTATTATCTCCTTAAAATTGTTTACAAATTCGCAGTTTGGAGTTAAATACACTAGACGGAGCCGATATAAATTTCACTCGCTAAATGCGTTGCTCAAGTACTCAGCATCATTCACTATCCAAACTTTTTACGGGATTATTTTTGGTTGAAATTCATAGACGGATCCAGAAAATTCAGAAATTGGTGGTCGGGACGCTTGATCACTTGCCAGCTATATCCTCGTCCCCCTCGGCCCACCGCTAAATCCCCCCGTGATGTGCGGATTGTTTGCGGTCCATTTTGGGCATAATTTGCGGTACTGTGCCCGCCTTTTTCGCAAGCAAAACGTAACAAGTTACTAATATAATATATAGATTTAGCCAGGGCTAACATCGAAGCTCTCTTTACTGTATATTGTTTATTCAAACTTAATATAAAATCGGGGCAACGAAAACGATGAAAAAACCAGTAGGTCTAATTAGCGAAAAAAAATGAAAGAACTCTACACGTGCAGCACAATTCTTTGTACATTTCCTTACCTTTGTTTTCCACGACTACAACGTGAAACTTCCAGAAACTTCCTAGTATCGTTTTATAGAGGAAATGTTGTATGCCGTGTACCTGTTCACCTTTTTTTTTTTTCGCTGCTGCTCATTTTCACTTTGGTGGCCGCTAGCATTTCTGACTTTTTCACCGCCGCTATAAATCTTTCATGTTTTTCTTCCAACGAAATTTTGACTCCTCTTTCATCTCCTGCTCTAGTTCTTTCTCTGTTATCTACGCTAATATAGACATAAAAATTAACAATCGCTTTTGTTGTTGTTGTTATTTATCTCTAAAAGTTCGGGCGGCTATGCGATTTATCCCTGAAACGCCCCGGTCCTTCTCAGAACCCAAATTTCTTGGATGCATAGATAACCAAAGTTTCTTTATACCCATGGCGCTCCGCTTCGCGCGAGAGCTCCGCTACAACCACCACAATAAATGACAATTTTCAATACTTCCGTCTGAAAAATCGACAGTTTCGGACTACCGGAGTAACGTGCCCATGAGCTGAGAAAGCAATCTCAAGGGCTTTTCTGGCCCTGCGTGGCGGGTGTAAAAAAGGGGAGGGGAGAGGAGGGGAGGGAGAGAAGTGTGAAAGGGCAATACCCCTCTCTTTACCCCTTCTTCTCTCACCCTTTTCGAGGCCTGTCACGCATGCTCAGGCCAGGGCTCCTAATCTCCAAAACAGCTTATCGTCAGTAGGAATTAGAATTTACAGGTGATATTCACCGACATAATCCCCCGTTCTTCCCTCCTCTTCTACAGAATAATAAATAACAATATTCACTGAAGTAGAGGTGGCTAAACATCCACCACTAGCACCACTAGCCACCGGCACTAATAATAATAATAATGATGATGATGATGATAATAATAATAATAATAATAATAATAATAATAATAATAATGATAATGATAATGATAATGATAATGATAATGATAATGATAATGATAATGATAATAATGATAATGATAATGATAATGATAATGATAATAATAATAATAATAATAATAATAATAATGATGATGATGATGATAATAATAATAACAATAATAATAATTTTTTCTTTACAGAGTACTGTTATGAAAACGAGCCGAAGCCAGATGCTATACGGCAGGCTGACTGCTATTCAAAAGTTGATCCTTGCCCACCGGGTCTTAAAGATTGCTCTGATGAATTCGTTTGTCCTTTGTCAACCAACAAATGCTGCTGCCCATAGAAACAAGTGTGTAACACCCCTTGTTATTCCACAACGCGGTAAATTGTTTGCCAGAAGCAAATGAAACCTTGTATTGGACTTGCATGTAGAATTGTGTGAATGCCTAGTGAGCTGAACAATAGAAAATAGAGGGTGTTGGAAAATTATGTGCAGTAGAAATTCTGTTGTTGGTTAATTTTGACTATTAATTATAATATCTTAATCAGTGTCTCGTGGGTTGTAGTAGAGATTTTTGAGGCTTTTTAAAAAACAAGGCCTTTGACCAGAATTCTCTAGCCTGCGAAAAGAGCAGTCTCTCCTTGATTCTCGCTGCTGGAACGTTTCGCCAAGAGAAACGTCTGCGCCTCAACGACAGAAATTCCATACTGATGACGTAAATCAATGTTTACATAATAAATCCGATAGTCATGGGGTCCCAAATGAAAATTTGTTCGATTTTTGGATTCTTCTGGTCGATTCTGGTAAAGTTTTGTGTTCCTCTGCGAACGAGCTCCAGCAAAACTTAAATGCTACTTCGGCTTTATTCCACGAATATTGACCTTTTTGTAGTAGATTCATCGCATTTTCATTTGGACATTTGTCTTTTGTCTGTTGTTTGTAAACAATAGCGAAAACTATATAACTATCAAGTCGACCAATCAGAGCTCCTGACCAGATTCAGGACAGATTTTACGTCATCAGTATGGAATTTCTGTCGCTGAGGCTCAGACTTCTCTCCTGGCGAAACGTCCCAAGCAGAGAGGGGCGAGGAGAGAATGCTGTTTTTACAGGCTAAAAATTCCACCCCCCCTTGAAAATATGAACCTTCAGAGGGACAATGCTGCTTCTCACGAACTGCTCGGCCTGCAACACCAACGTAGATCGCAAGCAAATACTTGGAATGAAAGAAAACTGCGATTATTTTTTTAATTTTTCCGAGGTACAATACGAGAGTGTCACATGTTAACCAATTTTTTTCTTTTTTTACAGTTCAGTCCTTTTTTGACTGTTTATTCATAGATCCGTGACTAGACCTAACCACACAAAAAGAAATTTTTAAATTTTTAATGTTCAAAGTATTTCGTGACAACACCGGTGAAATTTTTCCTTTTTGTGCGAGGTTGTTGAAATTAGTGTGATGATCTCTTGCCGTAATTTTTACATATCAACATGTTTGGTTAAACTGTTGATTAGTCCTACCAAGATGCATTTCGGACCGTGTTTAACCTCCTCTGGTGTTAGGAAATCTATAAATTTTTTCCTGCTTTGTCACTAGATATGCCGAAAAGAAGCCATGGACCTGTTCAGCAAACTGAGAAAAGTTTAGCCTGCGAATCCAGCCTTCTCCCCCGCTCCTTGTTGCTAGAGATTTTTCGTGAAACATCCTTAGCAGCAGGGAGCGAGTAGACTGCAAAACAGCTGAAAACAGCCCGTATTTTTGCCTAGGCTAAGAACGCGCACGCGAGAAGTCAAGGGGAAGGACTGGAGTGAGGGCAAAACGGAGAATGAGGTTGAGACGCAAAAAATACGTTTTTCTCCTCTCGCCACACATGCCCTGTGGGCACGTGAGGCCCCACGCGCTTCTCGCGAAAGTATCAGGCCGGCGCTTCGTACCTTGCAAAACCGATTTTGAGAAAATAAGCGACTGTTTTCAGTCTTAGGAGCGACGGGAGACTTCTGTATTCGCAGGCTAAGAAAAGTCTTTCTAAATTAAATGCCGAGACGAGAGTCCTGACCTACTGATCATGATCAGTGTTGTGTTGTGGGACTGTATGGGGGAGGCCTTTTTCCACTTCTGTGCAGCCTCCCAGAACCTGCCTCGAATCCAGGCGTCTCTCTCTCGATGAAAATTTGCGCGCCACGGAAGGCGGGAAGGACAAAACGTCTCTCTTCTTTCTCCTTCCTATGGTTAGCCTGCGTAGCAAACGTTTCCGCTCGAGTTAATGCGCGAAAACTGGAAACAGAGCAAAAAAAAAAAAATTTTTGCTTTCTCTCTCTCCCTCTGCAAGTTTTCGCGTAATAACTCGAGTGGAAACGCTTGGTAGGCGGTCTATCCTACGGTCCCTTGCGCTTCGTTACCAGTCACTCACGTTTCGCGCTTGCCCGTGTGCGAAAAACGGAGCGGCGCTCGAGGAGGGAGGCAGTCCCAAAATAGTTCCATAATCACAACATCAACCCAGGGTCGCGCATAATCTCAAAACGTTCTCTGTATCAATTCGATCTTTTACTTGTTTTGTTTCCCTACTTCTAGCGGAGAAAGGGATAAAGTATGCATGCATAGCATTGGTTTGGTAAAAGCCCCCAAGACATTGTGTTACTAGACTGCATGACTAGACCGACTCTAATTTAGCAATTTTTTAATTTAGTGATGTGAAACACTTACGCTGCTTTTTTCATGCCTCTCCTTTTCGCACTGTTTTGCGCACCTCCAGTCTCGCGAGACCGGACTTTTTGTTTCTCTCGCGCGTTTTGGTCGACAGACTAAGAAAAAAAGGTCGATATCAGAGGGACTGCTTTGAGCGTTTTTTGCTTAATTAGGGCGGAAAATTTCAAATCTCGTCTTCAGATCCTCCGTTAGGAGGCAGGGAAGCCAGGCGGCTAGAGCGCTGGAATTGTAATCGGACAAGACCAAATAATAGGACTATTATGGCTCTTGAATCGGATCAATTAAAGTTTCTGGGAAACTGCCCACCTACCCCTCCCCTAACCCATTATTTTGCCCAAAGTGAGAATTAAGTGTTAATGTTAGTTTAGGGGAGGGGTAGGTGGGGAGTTTCCCAGAAACCTTGAGTTCAATCCCCGTCCTAGCCGCCGGTAGTCCCGAGTTCATTTCCGCCTAACCGCTAGTAGTCCGCGTTTTCAAATCCTTGGCCAAGCTTACTTGGGATTCTTAGCCTTGTTAATGACTACATTTCAATTATTTGTTCTTATCCTCATCTGTGCGCCACAGTGAAAACTACACTGCGTTATCAGTTGTCCATTGGAGAAAATAAATAAGAGACGTCTTCTGCTGGATAAAACATAAGCAATGTCCGCATGTCTTGAATTATTGCATACTAGACAATTAGTTTGTTGCTTAAGGGCAATTTTTTTAAATATAATGTTGATATTAAATAAGGACAACAAGCTCTACAAAAAGACATCCTGTTAAGAAAGAAATTACAATAAAAAAGTTCTTCCAACCTCGTCCCCAGGAAAGAAAAAAGGGAAACGTTCTGAGGATGAAGTTTGTTATGATCTTAATTTATATTGCTTCGAAGCTTTCGTGTCATACTGATAAAACTGAAATGAAAAAAAAATTGTGTTACGACTGAGAAAGAATACAGTTAAGCCGGATGCGAAATCAGCTAGTGTTACACTTTCCATATCTCTAATTGGGTCTCAAGCCCTGCTAAACAGTTCTACTCCTTCAAGTAGTTCTTACTTATCAATCCTTCACCTTAGTTACTTTGAAATTAACACTGAATAACAAAGAAGGAGTTTCTTTTGTAAGCAAGTCTTTAAGCAGATTTATCTTGTGGTCTTTCAATGGCATTATTTTCTCTGGGTTCTTTTGCAACTTCTGGAGTTATCGACGTTAACTTGGAGTCGTCTNGTGACCAGGGTGTGACTGCAGGGCAAAAAAGAAAACTACCGATCGTTAGAGTAATTGTGTTAAGGCATTAGAGTGGAAGGTTTCACTGGGAGGGGGGGAAGGAGGAAGAAGGGGGGGCGGGAGGGAAAGGAGGATCGAGAACGGTAACGTGTGTGCTTAAGCCCACCAAACTAAATTTGACTATTTAACGGCTGCAAATTGGTTGCTTTCGTTCCTCTAAGACAACCTTTTTTCCCATATAAATGGGCCTAAGTCACTGTACTTCTAGTTTCTCCTTAAGAGGATCACGCCCTCAGACATTGGTCAAAGAAGCTTGGCGCTATTTTCAGTCAAACCTTGCCTCCTACGCAGGTTTCACTGTCCTGTTTTAGAGAACGAGTGGGAAAATAGGGAAGAACGGGGAGTCTGCTCCTCGCGGTCAGTGCAATCGCTGCAATAGTAGACTGCAAAACAGTCGGTTTTTTTTTCTGAAAATCAGTAAAGAAATCGGTTAAGTGTGGCATAAGAGTCTTAAGCGCGAAGCGCGCGAGCCTTACACGCCCGTAAGGCGTTTGTCGTGCTCTCTGTTTTCAGCTTCGTTCCAGACCTTTCGTTTGACTGCTCGCGCGTACTTGAATACGCAAAAATACGGACTGTTTTGCAGTCTACTGCAATAGGAACCTGCGGCTATTTCCGAGTTCCAAAAACTCTCGCTTTCAAAACTTGGCTAAGTGCGAAACCTTTGTTGTGAAAATGAGTTTTATTTGCATGAGGATAACAAATTGTTTTCGAATCAATGGCTTCGCACTTAGCCTCGCTTTACTGACAGGCTTTGTAAAACCTTTGTTTTTCATTCCTCCTCGGTATTACGGTCGTCCCAAGAGAAATAGAAGACAGTGCTTATGCAAAATTTGGGGGCCAAACAAGGTTTATTACGGGGATGTGCAAATGGCAAATGGCCTGTTGCATGCGAACGAGGCTAAGTCAAATCATGGATAATAGAAAAATGGCCAACCGTTTTCGACGCTCGAGTAATCAGTTCGTGTCGGTTTTCCTTAATTTTTATAAATAGGCTCTAGAAATAGCTAGAACTGTCCCATATACCATAAAACTGACAATTTTGTCGTTAAAATATGCACTGATACGGGCGTGACGTAAATTTTTTTCTTTTCTTTAAATCATGCAATCTTTCTAGTTGAACAATAATCAAAATTACAAGAAACTGACTTGTTTGCACATAACTAAAAATAGAGCAAACGCTGGCTTGCTAACGAATTTTTCTTAAAACACGTCCATTATCATAAAAGCAACAGGGAAGTGATTGATATTTTTCGAGTAGCGAAAACAAAGCAATTTTAACATAGAAAATGATCATTAATCAGAACCAGAGACTAGAATTTCCTTGTAATGTATGCAAGAAACGCAGTGTGTACTCAAGTGTTTCTTT